GAAACAAAATCGTGTCTGTAGATAGATATTGCAATATTCAATAGTCATACAGATATTGTTGGAGGATGGGGGAAAGAAATCTCACCGGGTACTCGTCGAAGGCGACCTCTTGCGGTGTCTCATCTTGGGCGTCTCTTTTGATGAGAGCATACTCCTGCGTCCGATCGAGTCCGAGTGTCGGGTCGATGATGTGCCTACACAGGGAGGACACGGCTGTGAGAAGCAGAAGCAGCACCGTCACAAACAACCCCATTCAGAAACTGGAAAAATACGAGAAATTCAATACAGACATCACAATGTAACAGTTTCACTACAGTATGCAGTAGTAGCAGTTGTAGTAGTAGAAGTAGTAGTAGTAGTAGTAGTAGTAGTTGTAGTAGTAGAAGTAGTAGTAGAAGTAGTAGTAGTAGTAGTAGTAGTAGTAGTAGTAGTAGTAGTAGTAGTAGTAGTAGTAGTAGTAGTAGTAGTATAAAGCTCAACCAAAAGCAACTAACGGCAATAAGGCAACACGAGATTGTAAAATTGTCTCAAACAATACAATTCTTTTGCAAAAGTGTACCAGTGCGATTTTCGTCCAAAATTTTTCTGATTTTTGCATGTTATTAGAAGAAAGATCGGGGTAATTTTTTGTAAGAAATGATCGGAGCGGAAAGAAGCGGCAAATTGACTAAACTTAATTAAACAAAAAATGAATATATTAGAGTTCTACGGGCTAATTGTTAAAATTTATAGACAAAGCGATAGACAAAGGAAACAAAAAGGATATGGAAGGATCCTATTGGTAGAAGCAGGGGGTTGCAATGGACAAAGGAGACTAACTAACTGCAACCCATGAGAGTTCCTATCGTTGGTCCATCATTTTCTCCCTTAGCTTATAAGATCACCCATTTCAACCAATATGACTGATTATTGATTGGAACTATTAGAAGACTAATTCGTCCCTAATCTTAAAGAATTCGTGTAATATCAAATGTAATCTCGGGTCATTTACTAATAATACTTCAGGGAGATTGTGGGTTTTATATATTTTTAATTCAGTTATGCGCTTATTTGTTTTTGAATTTTTTGTCTGTTTACATACTCCTCATGTCTTCTTAGTCTACAGCTTGGTCTATCAATTTCAACAATGAGCCCGCACAGATGGATGCTGTCACGGTAGCGGGCAATTCGAGTTTCCATCTTAGGGCCCGTTCCGTCCGACTTGATGACAAGCACCAAATCTACGAGAACAATGCCCCTAAATTCCCTCTGTCCGCTGAAAGGGCTGTCTTGGAACAGGCCAACATGGCCATCAATTGCAAGCGGAGGAGCCTCAGATGCCGAGAAGGGTGCCCGATTCGCATTGGATTTGCGGTCGGGCAACTTTCCCGCGGCCACGTGAGCGGCCCGGGCTCGTGGCGCGCTTTGCGATGTATCGACCGGTCTGCCATTTAAACCTATGGAGAAGGATCGAAAGACAGGGTGTTGGCAACGATTACCTTAATAATCGATTCTTTAGCATAGCTTCAAATGGGGAAAAATCGAAAATGGATCGACGCTGCCGGCTCGGAGCAGTGGGAATGGAAGCGGGAACCCGCGGGGCTGTTTGTGTTTGCAGATGGCAGTAAGAAAGCATCGCGGATTCTTAATTGAGTTTTGGAAATAATTCAAGCCTCGGCCTCCCGCCCCATCTTGTTAATTTGTATCGATCTCGGCCAAGACAGTCGGGACCGGGTGCCGAGTCTCACTTCCACGCTGGGGAGCCGCTAGCCGGCACCGCGAGGAGGCAAAACAATAGACTCGCTTTTAGTCGTGACGTCACAGTGGACTCTTTTAGAAGTTACGTCATGATTGCATTGCCTCCTACGGTCATGTCACTTTCGGTTCAAAATGAAGATAGCCTGTCTTCCTCGCTCTCATTCGCTTCCTTCCGCAAAGAATATCACACCCACTTAAAAGTCAGCGCTACGAAAAACATCAAAGAAAAGCAATTAACCCGGCCATTTCCCGGAACTAATACCCAACTTTTGCACTTTAGTCATTTCTCGGAACTTTACTCGCAATATTCGAATCCCGGAATTTCCGGCTATTTCCGGAACTTTGGGGGTTTTCGCCAGATTGACCGATTATTCGATCAAATTTGATTATTTTTGGTCAAATTTGACGATCTTCGGAACTAAATCCGGGCGTTTTTTTGGAATTTTTCCCCGAAACTTTTGAACATCGGAATTAATTTTGGCAGCTCCGGAATCTTTGGTAAAATAAAATGGCTGCACTGCTGCTTGGTCCTTTTAAAAAAAATCATCGTTTTTCTGTTTCGTGATTTTTCGCAATTCCCCCCGAGTAACAGCTACTAGATCTGTAACTGAAACATCTTGCGTCTAACTTGTCACTAAATGCGCCGTGATACATAGGCAAAAAGTCAATTTAGCCCCTAAAAAATCTTCAATGGCCCCTAAAAATCGAGGTTGATGCGCCACATGGCTCCTGAAATTCCAAGGTGAGTTTCGAACACTGTGCGGCAGTTGCATTTTATATTTGCCTGTCAGATTTTCACTCCTGCCATAGCGCAAAATTCGCGCCGGATCCACGCACTCAGAGTACCAGGTGGTCAAAATAGCAACTGAGTAAGCGTGAATTTCGCGCCGGGATTTTTAACAGTGTTGTTTTTTACAAGAAAACTTGGTCCCTTCCTGTTGAGCTGGATCCATTTTAGGGCCAAGGGATTACGGGTGGCTGCGTCTCCTGTCGCGCCGCTTAGGGCTCGGTCGGGGGGCCGAAGCTCCATCGTTGAAACGTGGAGAAACAGAAACGTGATGCACGAATGGCGGACATTCCGAGACACATCAAGATACTCGGAGCTTCTTTTTGCGAGCGCCGTTTGCCCTCAATTATCGGTCATTAATTACTCTCTCGCAAAACGTAATTAAACGGACGCTCTCAAGGGATCTCCACGTTGCCGAACTCGGGAAATTTGATCAAGTCTTGGGAAAATGTTGGCAGTGTGAATAGTTTTCAGAGAGAACCGCGGGGTTAGTTGCGCTGCTCAAAGAATCCCAATTTAATCATTGATTCTTGTAGTATTCATAAAAAAAATAAAATTTTTCCAAACAGCAACTCTTTGAACAGCAACCTTTTGAACTTCTGAACCTTCTGAACCTTTTGAACTTGAGCAACTTTTTGAACTTCTAAACAGCAACCGAGATATCGTGCCTTGAAAAATTCGTTTTATGACGTCGTCCACAGCGGTATCGACACCCTTGGTTTCTTCCACCTTGCTTTCATCCGAGTCTCACGTTTGTTGGCCAGTGCAAACGTGTAGTATCTCCCCGACGAATAAGACCAAGGGTGTCACTACCGTGGCGATGACGTTATAAATCGAATTTTTCAAAGCGCGATATCTTGGTTAATATTGAACGTAAAGAGTTGCTGTTTGGGCGGATCTCATCATTTTTAGCTAATCTACAAGAATTATGCATTGGAACTCGATTCTGAGACAAGCGCACTTGACCCATTGGTAGCCAAAATGTCAACTTTTACGGGAGACGCTGAAAAGTTCTCTTAACCCTTAAAGTTCAGTCGTATGAACAGTGAGTACGGTGTTCTTTATCGGACGCGCTAAATGGTCCATGTAACCGTACTCTCAGTTCTAGGAACCTTAACCTCAGCGTATACAACCGAGCTTTTGCCATAGTTTGCTTTGGTTCGAAACCTTGGTTACATGAAACGCGGTGGCGTGGCGTGCTTTGCGATATATCGATTGATCTGCCATTTAAACCCATGGAAACGGATCGATTACAAGGTGTTCGCAACCAACACTTTCATAATCGATTATTTACCATAGCCTCAAATGGGGAAATATCGATAATCAACCATCGATCATTCACGCCTCGCCACTGATGAAACGAGGACACGGCTCTTAGAACATCGAGAACGGTTAAATGAACCGAACTAAGCGACTGATTTAAGACATCGCACTTACAGCTCATCAGACCAAACTTTTTTTCTTTGTGCCTCGTAAGCTTTCGAGGTTTTTGTGTAGTTCAACACAGAAAGTGAAAATCCTGGTAAAGAAGAGTTTTTTTGAGTTATACTCATATTTCACTTTTTTTAAACATACTAAGTTTTGACGTCGACTGATTCATTTTCAAAGGATTTTTTTATTGGGGAATAGATCTGCATACAGAATAAAAACTGTTCAGCGTTTAGGAAGCGTTTAACCGAGTGAAATTTTCTCTATGAGCCCGAACCTAGTCACAATAAAAATCAGGTGGTGTTCAGCAAAAGGGCATACCAAGTGAAGTTTTGCAAGAGATTGAGTTCAGGGTATTTTTGACCTCGCATTCAGAAATACATTTACTTCCGTCAAAATCGAATGTCTGCAAAAAGAGGAAATGTAGTTTTGTACTTTACACTAAGCCTTGGAGGGATGATTCTAAGTTTCATATGAAACCTAGATTTATTTTCCTCCGTTTTATGTTTGCAACGCTTGGCTCTCTTTTGCTAAACACTCCCCAAATTAAGTGCCATAGGTTAAGTTTTTTAGTATTAAAAAATGTTGATGCTGCTGTCAATGTTGAACATCGTTGAACAATTGTTGTCAAACTTACATGTGAGAGTTATTATTGAGAGTATCTTAAAATGAATCCTTGGGGGTAGCGCTGCTTCCTTCACTGAAAAAAATAGTATGCTGTTTTAGCACCTAGGATGTCAAAAATGTGTCTTGTGATCCTAAGATGCTTCCTTGGTTGCCCACGCAGTTGAATTTGCATTCATAAGATGTAAAGTTAACTGCGGGGGCAGCAAATGTAGCATCTTGGGATCACTAGACACATTTTTGACATCCTAGGTGCTAAGACAGCATATTATTTTTTTCAGTGTTTAAACACAAAAACCTCACGGGAGAAGCAAATCATCTGAAAATTGGCAACACCATCTAAAATCGTAAAATTAAAGGTTTTAGCAGCACAACATTGCGACGCGAGTTGAAAATCGTTTATGCCTCTCATTTACAGGTTTAGGCGAATGAGATTCCGAACGGCGGTCTTAATTCGTTCCATTTCCAAATAGGTTGCCAGATTGAAAGGTAATTGACAGAAAAAAGACTATGGCAATTTTGATTTTCCGACGTTTGGTGATTGTACTTCACAATTTGGCGACACCGCAAATTTGAAACGAATTCAATTTTGTGGCTCTTCACAACTCTAGAATTCTTCAAAGGCTGCCTGGTATTTACATACCAGTTGAATGTAAATATTTGAAATGTTCAGGTGAGTTTAGA